GTCTATGGTGCTGATCAACTGGGTCTACTTTAGAGGTAAGGATGAACTGTGGACAACCAACTGCTCGGACTGCATTTAAAACTTTAATTTTGTTTCACTGTAAACAATTTTTTTTTTCTAGATTTGTAAATGGAACTCCTTACATTAAAAATTAACAATATTTCCACTTTCCTATAGGGCAGTGGCTAAAACCTTTTGAAAAGCGACTGACTACAAAGGATGACTTTTATGTAGACCAAAACACCAAAGTTAAGGTTGACATGATGAGGACGACTGAATTCTTTGATTCCTATCATGACTACGTCAACCATGCAGTTATCCTCCAGCTGCCCTATAAAGGCAGCACCTCCATGATGCTTGTCCTGCCTGATGAGGGAATGGCTGATGTTGTGGAAAGTAGAATCAAGGACTCTGTCATGAAATGGCAAACCGCTCTTTCTCAAAGGTAAGAGATTCTAGTCAACTTGTGGCATAAATGAAATCGTATTAATAGTCTTCTGTTCCAGACGCATTGATCTTTCCATGCCAAAGTTTTCAATCTCTGCCGAAGCCTCTCTAGAAGATATTCTAAAGGAAATGGGAATAACTAGAGCTTTTGAAAACTCTGCTGACTTCTCTGGCATATCTGAAGAGGTCAAGCTTGTAGTGTCAAAGGTATGACTGAGGATGCCCTTTGGGGTAAATGTATTGTGGCGTCTACAGTTCAATAATTCGCTTTAACTGGATCGTCTTCTGGTTCCTCTGCAGGTCTCCCACAAGGCTGTGCTGAGTGTGGATGAAAACGGCACGGAGGCAGCAGCTGCCACCACCATTGAAATCATGGCCATGAGCTCGCTTGAGGGCTTGACCGAAACTGTAAAAATCAACAGACCCTTCTTTGTCTTCATCGTGGAGCTCTCGACCAGGAGCTTTATTTTCATGGGCAGGATCAACAACCCCACACTGTCGTAAAGCTACTCAGGAGTGTGCAGCAGTCATTTCCCCTGCACTTTTTGCAGCTATGACCTCGTTTCACTTGACCATCGTCACAGAATGACTTCACTCAAATTGAGATGGACCCATTTTTGTGGAATTGGACATGACATTCTGTCTGAATTGATGAAACTTGTAGCTTGTTCTCGACAGTTTAGGCCTGACACTGCTGTTTGCACAAACTTGTACTTTTATTTTTATAAATAAGCTTGATGTAATCTAAAATAAAAACTTGCCATTAAACAAACGGATTGTTTTTAGATCTTCTCCCCAGCTGAAACTGGTTAAACCATGTGTGCTATGGTGGGTATTTCCTGTTTGGAAGTCTGTCCAGATTGCAGAATGTGAAATGAAGTGGAGCAAGCCTTTAAGGGAGGTATTGGCTCTTAGAGGGTAAAATGGCTCAGCGTCTGAACTGTAGGAGGCCCAGTATTGTGTCAAGTTTGAACATGGTGCGAGAAATCAACTGAGCATTTTAAAGAGTTACGACTGTTAGAAAGCTGAAAGTGAAAACTGGGGGGGGCTAAACTTAATGTAGACATTTCATTTAAACCCGCTATACCCATAAATCTGACACTAGCTTAGGTGTTCAGATTAACTTTAAAAAAAGTATTGACATTTTAAAAGTAACTGACAAAGTTCAGAAATTTTTACCCAGGGAAATTTCGTCCTTAAACGACTTCAATCCAAGGAGCCAGTCAGTCCCACAAGCAGCACACCCCCATAATGGTGGAAAACTGATAATCCACAACTATCCAGATGACCTGACTGAACATTGTTGGATTTTTACCTGGATTATTCAGCATGAACTTCGATCAGACCGCCACTTTCAAACTAAAGTCTTCATCAAACACAGATGATCTTCATCAAACACAGATGATCTTCATCAAACACAGATGAAAGCTTTTCATGCCTTGAAATAAATTTAACGCAATCTAAAAAAAAAAACCAGTGCTTTTTCTTGGTTTTTAATGGACAAGATTAAACCAGATTTGTTTTGGTTTTTAAAGCTGTAATCAAAACGAGTAAGATTTTAATTTAAAAAGAAAATCAAAGTTTAGTTTCTGTATATTGACACAATTACATTTGTAGTAAAAAAAAAAATAATTTTGGCAAATGCACACCAGTAGGAGACACTGGTTATTCCTGAGTAAAATGTGTTGGACACGACCAGGTTGGAATGCTTTGTGGTCTGGTCTGGAAGTTTTAATAACTCGTAACTGCTGATGTCCTACATTTATACAGCTTTGTGGTGCCTTCCATTGACCTCAGAACATGAGTGAAAAAAGATCAACTGTTGGAGCAATTATTAGAAAATGGAAGAAGCTAAACACGACTGTCAATCTCCCTCAGACTGGGGCTCCATGCAAGATCTCACCTCGTGGAGTATCAATGATCCTAAGAAAGGAGAGGATGACCGGGGCCATGTGTTGAGAGATTCTGGGGAACAACCTCCTTCCCTCAGAGCATTGAAGATGGGTCAAGGCTGGGTCTTCAAACATGACAATGACCTGAAGCTCACAGCCAGGAGAACCAAGGAGTGGCTCTGTAAGAAGCATATCAAGGTTCTGGAGTGGCCCAGGACTATGTGGGGGTTCAGGGTCTAGGGGGTTGCCGTGGGCGGTGCTGGCGCTGTGCTCTCCCTGGGGTTGTTTGGACCCCCTGAGCTTGGCTCTTGGGTGCCATGGTTGGCCCGCTGGCCGGGGTGGCTGCCGGGGCCTGGCGGGCGGCTGGGGGTGCGTGCTTGGTTGTTGGCGGTGTGTGGGGGTGGTCGGTGGCGTGTCCTCTTCATGGTGGGGGGGTGTCCTGTCGGCGGGGCATGGCCTGGGCCGGGTCTGGGGTATTGGCTCTTCTCCGCTCAAGAATGAATGGGTTTACCTCCTGGGTTTGGGCATGGGCTGCAGAGGGCGGGTACATGTCTTGGACCTGGGGGGTATAGAGTGCGTATCGGGAATAAGAATGAAATGTATCGTTATTGTATGTCTTTGAGTGAGTGAATGTGAGACTGAGGTTGGGATTGTGTGATTGTGTCTGTGTATGAATGGGTATTTGTTAGGCCGAGACTCGGACTGCCCCCTCTTTGATACAACTGGGGGTGCTTGGCATCGCGCCCCTATCGCGCGGCCCCCTGGTGGGGTGTGCCCTTGCCTGCCGGCGCGCTTGGGGCCCTTGGTGTTGGGGGCTGGGCGCTTGGGCGTGTGTCGGCTCGGCCTGGTGTCTGCCTGGTGGGGCTCGGGTCCTCTGGCCCTGTCAGGCCTTGGCCTGGGTGGTGTGAGTCCTCGGTGCCCGGGCCTCAGTGCCTGGACCTGGACCTACATCGGTGCGGCGGGTGCCAACGGAGGCCTATGAGCTTGTCGCTGTTGGCCCCGGGGGGTCACTGTATGTGGTTGCTGGTGGGGATCTTCCGGTTCTCCCCTGTGGTCCGTTCTGGGGGGTGGGTGAGTGGTTCGTCCTGTGTGGGTGGCTCTGGGGGCTCCGCGGTCGGGGTCCCTCCTGGTGTCTTGGGCTCTGGTCCCCCCTTTTTCGTCTGCCTCTGGTCTTGGCGGTCGGGTCTCTGCTGCTTCACAGTTACTAATAAATGTTCTATTAGAGAAGCCTTATACACTTATGCATGCTCACAACCACACACAAATAGAAGCAGGGATGCTTATTTAGGCTTTATATGTAGATATATAGATATGTATGTGAGTGTATATTCATGTGTATGTATGTATGTATATAGGCGTAGGTATGGGTATATATATTTATGGAAACTTACTGCAAAGCCATGAATATTTTAAGTTCTTTATACATATGTATTTTGTTGCTGTGTTTTGTCATGTTCTTTGCAGGTGAACAGACAGTGGCCGGGTGTTTTGCCGTGTGCTCTCTTTGTGTATATCTCTTATATTTTGGAGTCTTACTTTGTCTTTTCTTTCTTTCTATCCTATAAAAAAAAAAAATAATAATAATACACTAGATAGTCACTATAATAAATATTTCATAATAATGGTGTGGAGAGGATGGCTGTAAGGGGAGAAGGGAGGCCATCGGAAAAAAAAAAAATACATTTTTCACTCAGCGATAAAAAAAAAAAATCACACACACAAAAAAAAAAAACCACAAAACAGTAAAAAAACCCCCCCCCCCCACAAGACCAGGTTCATTTGTTAATTGTCACACAACCCTGACAGATTATGTGGACTCGTTTTACTGAGAAATGCACATTGAAAACGGTCAGACCTGCCTCTGTGTGCGTTATTTTTATTTATTTTATTTTTTTATACATTTTATTACAGGATGTTGAAAAGGTGACTAGTTGCTGCTCATTACATCTCAAGAAGAACCATGAATACTGTTATGAAGTTCAGCTTCACAGCGTGTGGCGTCCAGTCCTGTGACTTTGTGATTTGGAGCCAGCAGGATCCACTGGTGCAGCCAGAGATGATCAAATGATGAACACAGTCCTCCACATACATGAACAGTTATTCATACAAAGTAAAATTGTAAAAGAAAGAAGCTAAAAGCAATCCACTTTGACACACATCATTTATTGTAACTTTTCCTGTTAACATTCAGTTTTAACTTTTTACATCAAATCACTGTGTGCACGTTTAAAAAAAACCAACTTTTTTTGTTGTTACCTTTTAATGACATTACTTATGTACAAACAAGAAATAAAAAGTTGTTGATGTATCTTTAACTCTTGAATACTTGAACAAGATATTTACAGTTTTTTGTCTAGTGACTGTACAGTCCCAAATGTTTGTTAACGCTGCACACACAGTTACTCTGTCCTCTAATAGATTAGATGTTTCAAAGTCTGAGACATAACAGGAGACAACTTCTCAAAATGTTAGAAATGTCACATTCAGTAACATTAAATCTGAATGTAATATCTTTATTGGTGAGCCCTAAACGCAGTTTTCATGAGGATGGACAGTATGGTCCATTGCTTGGACATCTGGGGGTGTCCTCCCTTCATCTTTGTCTCTTGTAGCTGAGACACAGAAGAGAGCAATCATTAGGTAGAGCAGGAAAGCATCACTTTGTTAAACACAGGTTTGTTACAGCCTCAGTTCAAGTCATTAATCCTCTATTTACCAATCCAATTTTCCATTGCTGTCTTTGCCGGACTTTGTAGAGTAGGAGAAGATGGACGTGACAAAGTCAGGACTGTCGAAGTCTTCAGAGTCCAGTCCTGAACAAACAAAGTGTATTCCAGTGACTGACGCTAATGAAACAGCGCACGGATGGCCAGCGCTAACTGACGTAGCATGTGTTAGCACACAACTTTCAACAGTAACCACAAGACTCTGTGTGTCACTGATGAAAAGCTGACATGGAAACCTCACATAAATAATTTAAGAACAAAAATAGCTAAATTTATTGCAGTACTGTACAAAGTAAGGGAGTTACTCAAAGATAAAACACTGTTTATGTTGTATAATGCAATAATTGTCCCACACTTAATTTACTGCATTGAATTCTGGGATAAAGCATGTGAAACTATTACAAACATTATTTTTATTTTACAGAAAAGAGCTGTAAGAATTATCACTAGAAAAGATTATAGCCATCCATCAAATAGTTTTATCAGCTGAAGATATTCAAATTATATAACTTTGTTGATTATAATATTTTACTGTTTATGTATAAGGCTCACAGAAACATACTACCGTCTAATATCCAAGTGAATTTAGTTAAAAGGGAGAGTTATTATGTCAAGGAGATAGATGTTTGTGAAGCGCTGGTTTCGTACCAGTTTGAAGGAGCGGCCCACTATAATTCAGGGAACAGGACTGGTCTGAAGGATGATGTTAAAACTGCCAGATCGTTGTACATATTTGAGGAAATATTAAAAGTTAGTTTTCTGAAGGAATATGGTAAAGTATAATGTGCATCTGTACAAATTGTTGTTTGAGTTGATGTAGTTTTTATTTAGCTTTGTTTTTTTGTAAATTACTTTGTTTGAATATATTCTGGGAATAAAGGGGCAGATATCTTATTCTTCTTCTTCTGCCTTTCATGTTATTATATTTTTTGTTTTTTATTGTATATAGTTATTTTGTGTTTAATGGCATGAATACATTTCTAAATAAAAATAAACAAATGATTATCAACTCCGCTCAGCATCACTGAACTATGATATCTTAGCTTGTAAACTAGGTACACTCGTCTTTGAGTGATCAATTGTTCATATTTTTGTTAATGGGACTAATAACCAGAGATGCTCGTTAGCAGCCCTTACGCTGAAGATTGTTGCATTTTTAATCCTCTGCTCGTTCCAATCGCTTCTTCTGACGGCTTGCAACCAAAGACGTCTCCTGTTAGCCTTGAAAGGGGTGCGAGTTGAAGGAATTCTGTAAAACTTGCATGTTTTCTTGTTTTCATCAAAATGGTTGGTGCAACCTACAGCGCAACGAGACATGATCGCTGTTTCTTTCTGTGACCGACATGCGCAGTATGCCCGGAAGCGACACGGAACGTTGACATAATCCATCTATACCTCTCTTTCATTTGTATATTCACTGCATTCTAAGAAAATATGTTTTATTCTTTCTAATTGTCCACAATGATCACAACAGCCTGTAACATATTGATTATTTTCAGTGTGCTGTTTAATCCAAATCTCGTCCTCAAAATAATATCTTCTTCTTTTTTGTTCTATTACAGTTCCTGAGTCCCCCCACCTTTTTTTGAGTGTGTTTTTTACATCACAACTGATAAGATCCAACAGGCCAACACAGAAAAGGAGGAGTGATTGATGTTAATTATTGTCAGCTGTGAGCTCCTGTATATAAAGGCAAGTCTGATGACCTTCTGTTGTCACTGCAAAGAGGTGTGCAAACAGGTAGGGAACTTGTTTACTGGGTCACAATATTGTCAGCAATTTTAAAAGTGATTGTGTAAGAAAATGGTGTTGGATATGAATCTCAGAAGACCTGAATTTTGGTATACTATACATTTAATTACTATAACAGGAAATGATGCCTCTTATTTGCATTTGAGATATTTGGATTGTGTGTTTGTGAAGTCCTACTTTAAACCTGCTACTTTCATGGACAGGCACTGAAGATGTCTCGTGCCTCTGCAAGTCGTGCTTTAGCAGCCCTGCTGCTGGCTGTAGTTTGGGCACATCCCAGTCATGGCTCTGAACAAAGTCACCAGGGTGAAATGGCCTGGCATGCTCTCTCCCCTCATAATGCTGAATTTGCCATTGCCCTTGAACGACGTCTGAAAGCCAAGGCTGCTGGTGGGAAGAACGTCTTCTATTCACCGCTGGGCATCTCCACCGCTCTGTCCATGCTGTCTGCAGGGGCCCACGGTGACACCCACACCCAGCTGTTTTCAAGCTTGGGCTACAGCACCCTGGACCAGATGCAAGTCAATGAAGCCTACAAGTATGCTCTCCACATTCTCAACAACCAGGAGAATGTGCAGTTGGAAGTTGGCAACTCCGTTGCGGTACGCACTGGCTTCAATCCTTTACCAGCTTTTTTGAATGATATTCAGCAGTACTTCATGGGTGAGATCTTCAAAGTAAACTTTAAAAATCCAGCTAAGGCAGAAGCACAGATTAACCAACACATTGCCACTAAAACCCATGATAAGATCAAGGATCTGGTCAAGGGCTTGGACCCTCAGACGTCTATGGTGCTGATCAACTGGGTCTACTTTAGAGGTAAGGATGAACAGTTGGACAACCAGCTGCTCGGACTGCATTTAAAACTTTAATTTTGTTTCACTGTAAACAATTTTTTCTAGATTTGTAAATGGAACTCGTTGCATTAAAATAACATTATTTCCACTTTCCTATAGGGCAGTGGCTAAAACCTTTTGAAAAGCGACTGACTACAAAGGATGACTTTTATGTAGACAAAAACACCAAAGTTAAGGTTGACATGATGAGGACGACTGAATTCTTTGATTCCTATCATGACTACGTCAACCACGCAGTTATCCTCCAGCTGCCCTATAAAGGCAGCACCTCCATGATGCTTGTCCTGCCTGATGAGGGAATGGCTGATGTTGTGGAAAGTAGAATCAAGGACTCTGTCATGAAATGGCAAAACGCTCTTTCTCAAAGGTAAGAGATTCTAGTCAACTTGTTGCATAAATGAAATCTTATTAATAGTTTTCTGTTCCACAGACGCATTGATCTTTCCATGCCAAAGTTTTCAATCTCTGCCGAAGCCTCTCTAGAAGATATTCTAAAGGAAATGGGAATAACTAGAGCTTTTGAAAACTCTGCTGACTTCTCTGGCATATCTGAAGAGGTCAAGCTTGTAGTGTCAAAGGTATGACTGAGGATGCCCTTTGGGGTAAATGTATTGTGGCGTCTACAGCTCAATAATTCGCTTTAACTGGATCGTGTTCTGGTTCCTCTGCAGGTCTCCCACAAGGCTGTGCTGAGTGTGGATGAAAACGGCACGGAGGCAGCAGCTGCCACCACCATTGAAATCATGGCCATGAGCTCGCTTGAGGGCTTGACCGAAACTGTAAAAATCAACAGACCCTTCTTTGTCTTCATCGTGGAGCTCTCGACCAGGAGCTTTATCTTCATGGGCAGGATCAACAACCCCACACTGTCGTAAAGCTACTCAGGAGTGTGCAGCAGTCATTTCCCCTGCACTTTTTGCAGCTATGACCTCGTTTCGCTTGACCATCGTCACAGAATGACTTCACTCAAATTGAGATGGACCCATTTTTGTGGAATTGGACATGACATTCTGTCTGAATTGATCAAACTTGTAGCTTGTCCTCTTGACAGTTTAGGCCTAACACTACTGTTTGCACAAACTTGTACTTTTTTTTTTTATAAATAAGCTTCATGTAATCTGAAATAAAAACTTGCCATTAAACAAACGGATTGTTCATTTTTTTTCTCCCCAGCAGAAACTGGTTAAACCGTGTGCTATAGTGGGTATTTCCTGTTTGGACAAGTCTGTCCAGATTGCAGGATGTCTCAATAGTGGAGCAAGCCTTTAAGAAGGTATTGGCTCTTAGAGGGGAAAGTGGCTCAGTGTCTGAACTGTAGGACGCCCAGTATTGTCAAGTTTGAACATGGTGCGAGAAATCAACTGAGCATTTAAAGGGTTATGACTGTTAGAAAGCTGAAAGTGAAAACTGGGGGGGCTTAAGTTGTAAGATTATCCACATTTCAGTTTAACCAGTTATACCCATAAATCTGACACTAGTGTAGGTGATGGGATTAACTGTAAGTTTTCTTGAAATTTTAAAAGTAACTGACAATGTTCATTTATTTTTTAACCCAGGGAAGTTTCAATCCAAGGAGCCAGTCAGTCCCACAAGCTGCACACCCCCATAATGGTGGAAAACTGGTGATAATCCACAACTATCCAGATGACCTGACTAAACATTGTTGGATTTTTACCTGGATTATTAAGCATTAACTTCGATCAGACCGCCACTTTCAAACTATTCATCAAACAAATCTGCCAAACACAGATGAAAGCTTTTCATGCCTTGAAATAAATTTAATACCATCTGAAATAAACCAGTGCTTTTTCTTGGTTAATGGACAAGATTAAACCAGATTTGTTTTTTAACTCTGGAATCAAAACGAGCAAGATTTTGATTTAAAAAGAAGAAAAAAATCAAAGTTTAAAGTTTCTGTACATTAACACAATTACATTTGTTAAAAAAAAAAAAAAAAGCTTTATTTGGCAAATGCACACCAGTAGGAGACACTGGTTATTCCTGAGTAAAATGTGTTGGACTAGACCAGGTTGGAATGCTTTATGGTCTGGAAGTTTTAATAACTCTGTAACTGCTGATGTCCTACATTCATGCAGCTTTGTGGTGCCTTCCATTGACCTCAGAACAGAAGACTGGAAAACCAGAGGGACGTTCTCTCCAAGTTGTACGTGTTCGTTTCCTGCTTGTCGGAGAAAAGATGGACTCCACAGCAAAAGCCTTTCTTGTTCTTGCTCTTCAGGAGGAAAAGTTACGAAAGGAGTCGAACTGAACATGCTGGTGGAGGATGAAGGCACAAATGATAGTAATGTTTGTGTTTCTTTGTAGTAATTTACAAGCAGTTAATCAATTAGTGGTCACGTAGTACAAGTAATAGTAAATAATGCATTGATGATGTAATGTTGCATATAATTTAGATTAATTTTTACTTTAACACAACTGATTTCTAAATTAGGATATTGGTAGCAAGACAGCAAATCATCCTGAATTTGTGAGGTGAGCAGGCCTTTGACCGGGTGAAGTGCAGGTGGTGTGTTTGCCAAATGCACACCAGGCTTTTGATGCTGCAGCCTGCTTTCTGCATAATTTGTACATTGGGATGTCAGAAATATGCCAGAAACACCCACAAAGCTGCCTGGTGCAGGGAGATGAGAATGAATGCATCCATCAATCCATTATCTTTAGCTGCTGCTTCCTTTTTGGGTCACGGGAGTCACTGGTGCCCATATCCAGTGGTCACTGTGTCAGAGGGAGTGGACACCCTGGACAGGTTGCAAGTCCAACACGGGCACAACCGGACACAAACGAGACAATGTGACAAGCCCTGTACAACAACATTCACTTTTTTCTTCTTTCGGCTGCTCCTTGTGTTAGGGGTCGCCACAGCGAACTAAGTCGCACATACATTATACAAAGCAATTAGTAAGATTATCCTTCTAGGGAGGCCAGCGGATTGCGAAGAATCTCCGCTTCGTCACAGTCTCGCATCCTGAGCATGAGTAACTTTGGTGTATCAGAGTCAGAGTTTCTTCATTTGTCTTATGGACCACATGTGGTGGAACCCATTGTGTACACAGGGTCCCAGTTACATCCAACAAAAGTATCAATTGTAAAGGAAAAACTGTGATAAGATCTAAGATATGAACCAAGAAAAACATTAACCAAATATACACTAAGCACTAATAGTAGTAGAACAAAAACAATACGCCGAACAGCAGCACGAACATGAGTCTGTGTGAGCAGATGAGAACGAACGCAGCAACATGAAACAGATCAGCAGCAACATGAAACAGATCAGCAGCATCATGA